AAAGGTGAAAGTACCGTATAGAAACAAGAAGTTATTCAGAAACTTAAAGTGGCTCTGTTAGGGGATTTGAACTGGCAACAGCCTAGTGAAGCTTGCATGAGTCCTGGGCCCATGTGGAGGTACCACACGCCCCATCTAGAAATAGATTGATTCCTGTAAAGATCACAGCAAAGACATCAAAACATGAATGCCCTATCCACTTAAAAGTCACACACTAGCAACAGGAAGTTACTTACAGCTGAAACTGTGTGTGTGCCTCCCTCCTCACTGGGCTATTCATGGGCATCGTTTACATCTGCTTCAAGTAGAGCCACTGCTCTCTTCTTAGCAAGGGCTCCTTATGTGACCTTGGATCAGGGCTCATTAACTCATGGTCCAGCCCAACCCAGAGAAGCCCAGAAGAGATGGTTTGGCTCAAGCCTTGCATTAATGAAGGTGCCTTGGTGTACCTTTCTTGATGTGATCTCCATGTATGCTCAACAATTTTAATCTTGTACTTTTCCATGGCGGTGTTAACAGTGACTTCGTACCAAAAACTGTTACCCCATCTTGGTATGTCCTCAAAGTAGAGATATCCTAGGCCTTCCTGCAGAGACTTGCCCAAGGGAAGAATAAGTAGAGGTCTTGGCAATGTATGAGTTGGTAGTGGCTGGACAGGGGGTCTTGAAATACAAAAGTTGAACTGTATTTCTCGTTGTTGCCCATTGCTTCTCTATGGCTCTCTCAGAGTGACAGATTCTCTCTTTAGTTGTGTGCATGGGAGTTGGGTACAGCATGTGAGCAGCTGTAAGTACAAAGGTCAGTGGTGTGTTAGTGTGTGAGTGTGTGTGTGTGTGTGTGTGTGTGTGTGCGCCGGGGGCGGGGGAGGAGAAGGGTCCTCCCTGCCAGAAGTTTTGGAAGCTCCTAACTACTAAAGGTTATTCTCTAAGTAGAGTGTTGAGCTTTGTACGGGTTGGTTTTGTGTGTCAACTTGACACAAGCTGGAGTTATCACAGAGAAAGGAGCCTCCCTTGAGGAAATGCCTCCATGAGATCCAGCTGTAAGGCATTTTCTCAATTAGTGACCAAGGGTGGGAGGGCCCACTGTGGGTGGTGCCATCCCTAGGCTGGTAGTCCTGGGTTCTATAAGAAAGCAAGCTGAGCAAGCCAGGGGAAGCAAGCCAGTAAGTAACAGCCCTCCACGGCCTCTGCATCAGCTCCTGCTTCCTGACCTGCTTGAGTTCCAGTCCTGACTTCCTTTGGTGATGAACAGCAATGTGGAAGTGTAAGCTGAATAAATTCTTTCCTCCCCAACTCGATTCTTGGTCCTGATGTTTGTGCGGGAACAGAAACCCTGACTAAGACAAGCTTCAAACTGCTCAAAGGTGGGGTCGAAGGTGGGAACTTGAAACAGGGCTTGGAGTGTAGCATGGGGTGGCCTTGAACTTGGGATCAGCCCTCCCAGATTCTTGAATTACACACGTGTACCACCATGGCTGGCATGTGAATAGTTCTTAGAGGCTTGAAATAACTTTCCCTCTCTCTATACTAATTTTCCTGTTTTAAATTCCACATCGAAATGATGTACTTAATATACCTCAGGTCCGTTTGTTCCCTCACCCCGTATCCCCGAGTCCCACCGACTCTTTAAATGGCTCCCTAGGTCACCAGAGCCAAGGAAGTACCTTGGTTCATTTTGCTCTAATAGTGACTCAAGGCTGTTGAACAGAAACAGAAAAACTTACTTTACAGGTAATGCATGAAGCCAAGGTTGCTCGCTTCCCGGCTAGGTCTCGGCTAGCACTGTGTGTTTAGGTTCAGGGAGAAAGACCTGCAAGTGCACTTGACTTTCAAGTTGCCCGGCTGCAAATACTTGAAATAAGTGAATGAAGATGAGCGTGGTGGCACACATGCCTTTAATCTCAGTACTTGGGAGGCAGAGGAAGACAGATCTCTGTGAGTTTGAGGCCAGCCTGGTCTACAAGGCAAGTCCAGAACAGCCAGGGCTGGTTACACTGAGAAAACCCCTGTCTCAAAAAAACAGCCTCCCTGCCACTCTCAAAAAAAAAGAGAGAGAAAAAAAAGAGAAAGAAGTAGATGGTTACATGCCTATAATCTCAGCACTCGGGAGCCTGAGGCAGGAAGATTGCTAGTTCAAGACCATGGGCATGTCCAGACATCATCTTCAAATGAAGTAAATGAGGGTCTATCTATTGAGTGAATATATCATCAGTCTGTTGTTCATCATTTGGGTGGAAATCCTATTCTGTGAACTCCCCAGCCTTCAGATTAACCCATCTCCTAAATATGTGAGGCATTTGTTAGCAAATAGACCATTTGAGAACAGGTATGCTCTCTAGGTGGGTAATTTCTTACACCACGGGCATTTCCTTAATAGCAGTGAATGGGGGGATATGTGAGGATTCTTGGGAGAGCTTCTAGTCATTAGGCAGGACAAGACTGAGCATGCCACCTGTTGGAACACTGGAAGGCAAGCTGCCAAAAATGTCCTGGTATTATATGCTCTCTGTGCAGAGACAGTGGCAACAAGTATGGACCTGCAGTTGTTGGGCTTCTTCACCTCAGTATATAGAAGATTCAGGATCTGGCTTTTTAAAGACACTTGTTTTAGTAAGGATACATACAGAATGTTTGGTTCTCAGCATTTAAGGTGCCCATATCAGTAAAATTAAGTGCATTAAAAATCTTACCTAGCTGTTACATCAGAGCAACTTGATCTGCAGGCTAGTTGACCACTGAGCTCCTGCCCTGTGAGTGGCAGCTTGCAGGTTTTGGTCGCCCTGTGCCTGGAAGATTTCCCTGGAGAGTATTGAGTTTTACATACACCTTTCTTAATACTTTGCTTTGGGAGATTGTAATAATTGAAACCCTAGTCATTGTCCCAAGTCCTGGATCTGGAGTTGTGCCACCTGTCCTCACCACCCTGGGACTGAAGCGCCTGGCTGCAGTTTGTTGTGACTTTTTGAGATTGCTATTATAAGAACACACCTCACAGAGGAACTGCAAACTCGTCAGAATGCTGCGATTTGGTTGTTAGTGTTACTCTTCTGGTTTGGGGATCATGGCTGTGTTCTTAGTGTTTAGGGTCTCAGCAGAAGGAGACCTAGCCTTTTAGGACATTACCCTTTGGAGATGTGAGATTCCCCAGAAAGCACCAGGGTTTTGTTTTTTGTTTTTTGTTTTTTTTTAGTTTTTATTCACATCCTTTTTTTTTTTTTTTAAATGCTTAGCCTGGTACACACACACACACACATCTATCTCTGTGTATGTCTCTGTAAGTGTCTCTGTCCTGCTCTCCCTCTTCTACCCCCTCTCTCCCCCTCCCCTAATTAGAGTCCCTAAAGGAGGAGCCTCCCCCATCACCACCCAGAGGGAGAAAAGAAATCTGTCAGGGAAGTCATACAACAAATACCAGATGTACTATCAGAATAAGCTTCATTTGTTTGTCTGTTTCTTTTTTCTATTTACCACCTATAGTCTAGTGATGTCCAGAATCCTTGCTTTACACGTTTCTAGAGGTGGTGTGGGCCATGGTGAGTGGACCCTACCACACAGCCTGGTGCATTCTGAGAGGCGAGGGTGGGAACAATGGGCAGAGTGGCTTTTTGTTCTCCCGCCCCTGTTTACCTATTCACAATCCTGAAGCCGCTCCACTGTGATGGGGGGGGATGTCACGTGTAACTCCACCCCCTCACCCCCACTTCACCGCCCCCCCCCCCCACATACACCCCCCTCCCCGCCCTCACTCCCGGCTGGGAAGGAGCATAATGCCCGCTTTCGAGACCTTCCCTCATTCAGTGAAAGATGTAGTTGGCGTGTGTCGGGATGACAGAGGGGCACGGTGGAAGCCAGCACGTGTGGCTGATTACTGGGGCTGCCATGTGCTTTGCAAGCCTTCGGTGTCTGCTCCGGAGCTGGTCCCTGCATGGCCGCCTCCTACCCGTCCTTGTCAGCACCGCTGCTTTCTTAAGAATCATTGGAGAGCAAGCCTGTCCCTCCCTCGCTTGTGCGTGCACATCCTGTTTCGTGAAAACGTATTTTTTTTTTCTTTTAAGCAAAATTGAAAGAAAGAAAGGAGATCGAGAGAGGAAAAGGGTGGGGGGAAGAAGGTTGCCATCCAGTGGAGGAAGGAGTAATTTCTAGCTTCATTCAAGAAAGAAAGAAAGGAAGAAAGAAAGAAAGAAAAAAAGCAAACACACACACACACACCCGCACGCACACACATACCCGCAGGCTGAAGTATGCTTAACTCTTTTAACTTGGCTGGGGCTTTTTAGCACCATATGGGTTCTTTCGTGACGTCCGGAGCCAAAAGAGTGCAGTGTGCCTTTAAGGAAAGAGGTACCTCACCAAACTTCCCTGTAGTTGTGCCTCACCATTTAGGTAGGGAAGGAAAGTGTTAATTTCTTATTTGTACACTTTTTTTCCCCCCGACTTCCTTCCTATTCACTTCATTAAATCTAGAGGCAGTTCAGCATGGGAGCCGTCTGTATGTTGAATTAGGGCTCGGCTCTCTTGCGCAACACGTCACCAGTCGGAAACTGGGGGTTTGCTTCTGTGATTTATTTCATTATTGTGCTGGTAAAAGGTTTGGAAGGGAATTCTTTCTGGGGGTAGTACTTTTAGCATTGTGTAGCAAGTTTTTTTTGTTTTTGTTTTGTTTCTTTTCTTCTTTAATTTTTTGTACCCGCCCCCCCCCAGCTAAGTTGTCCGCTGAGCTAGCTTAACAAAATAATATTTTAAAATCAGAGAAGTCCCCATAATTTCCCTAACAAGCAAGAGAAATCTTAAGTCTAACTCTTGAAGTACGGAAAAGCATTGGGAAATATGGAGGGAATTGATTTCCATTAGAAAAAGCCCCTTAGAAACCACAGAACATGAAGCCCTGCATATAGATGCGTCCGGGTCTTTGGGGAGGAGGGAAGATTTCTGTAGCTCTCTGCATTCCTGCATAAAAACCTTAACTTAAGGGGAATAATGGTCAGTACTTTGTGCGTTTTCCTGTAACTCCAGGACCTAAATTTAATAGGAATCTGCAGTATTAACAGTTGTAATAAAAATCTGTTTGACTAGTTCTGTTTGCAATTTAATTTGTTTTCTTTCTTAGGTACTCACAGGCTTAGAGATTTAAAAGTCCAAATATCACAAGTTTATGTTTTGTTCCTCGTTTTTCCAGAATTGGGGGGGGGCGGGGGTTAGAGCAGAAATACTCTTTTCACAACTTCCCCCTCCTCACGGATCCCACTAAAAAGAAAAAAAAACAATGAAAAATTTTTGCAGTATGAAAACCGAAAGTGAAGTGTCACAGTTATTCGGGATTTTCTTTACAGAGAAAAATAACACTGTATTAAAATACAGGAACCTGAGAACATGCACATTGCTTTTACTTACATGCATCTGGGAGGGGGGGTGTTTTTCTTCTGCGTTAAAAATCGTTTTAGACTGCTCCAAAACCATGCAGCATATCTTTTCTGAAAAAAAAAAAAAAGCCGACTAAGATGAAGCATAAAATACAACAAAAAGCATATCTTGCTTTAATCTTTTAAAATACATTTGAATATTCATTTGTTTTCTTATTGGCTTAATTGTTAAAATGCAAGCAAGAATCAGAAACCACCTGAGCTAAAATCTCTAATTCTGCTGCCTGGAATAATAAGGGGGGGAACAATATGATAAGTAGTTGTCAATATTAAAACAGGCTGGAGGAGGAAGGCTTGGGGCCTGGTCGTAGATAGAATGAAACAGCAGATTTGAGTATCCACAATCCTTCCAGTATTAAATTTTCAGTAAAATAAAATTACTTGTATATGAAAACACAGCCTTTCCCAGCTCTCTTTTTTTTCCTGATCAGCTGATGAAGAGACTAGCAGCTCGCTGCTTTGCTGGCTTGTTAATTTTATCCCCACTAACTGTGATTTCCGATAGCCGGCCTGCTGATAGTGGTAAGGTAAATATCCTTTTTCGTTGCCGTCTTGAAGATTCAGTAGAACTACATCCCAGGCATGTGTAGGTGTGTAACACATCAAAAAGCCGCCGTTCTCCGTATTTCTGTGTGCAACTGGGTGCTGGAGGAGAGCAGTACCATTAACTGTTGACAGGCTTGCATGCTGTATTTATGATTAGCATGCTCAGCCTCCAAGATGTGCGGGACCATTTCTTTCTCTTATCTTTGCTTAGCTGCACTGTGTTTAGCTGTATAGTGGGTGTCCTGCTTTTAGGCAAATGAATATTAATGAAATAATGGGGAGCTTCTTTCTTCCTTTTTTTTTTCCTTTCTCCTTTTTCTTCATAACTCATCAGGTCTCGCCTCTTTCATAGTGGTTATCCGAACACTGTAGGATCGTGATGGAAATTGTCTTTTGATTATTAAGGCCTGGGCTCAGGCTGTCCCTTAGGATTCTGTCTGTGTGCATGTTGCTTCTATGGATTAGCACATTGGAGAGTGCATTGGAAACATTTTTTTTTTTAAATCCCACTGGCATTTTTAACATGCCAGGTTGTTTTGTGTTCTGTAGCAGGTTTTCTTCACAAAACCTTTCTTTTTCAGGAGGCATTGTACATAAGTGAAAGAAATTATGTCTGAGCTGTAATCACTCTTTATATTGATTGTTATATTCACATGATCATAAATATTAGCCATGTTTGGTGCTGTGGAGAAATGAAGGTAATTGCCTTATGATTAGAGCTCTTTGAGCTAGGAGAGGATTGATTAGCATTTACATACTGGAGGCAATATCGAGAGCCTGAGGAACAAATAGCAACACCAGTCATTTGTGTGAGAAAGCAATCTCAAAAAAAAAAAAAATGTGATTTTTAGATCTTTTTCTTTTTAAAGAAAATTTCTTTTCCGTGGTCAGATTTTCTTTTGTCTGTTTGCTTTTTTCCTTTTTCCGTTTTTCTTTTTTGTTCCTCTCTTTAATTTTTCTTATAAGTTCAGAGACTTACCAGGAAAAAAAGAAAAGTTTGAACTTGTGGGTCCTGTCACATGGATCTTGTAGCCTTTTCTGAACAGGTCTCCTTCATACCTGTCTGTTTTTATAGCTATTTTATTATCTTTCTGCATTAGTGCGGCTGGCTCTGGTTTAAAGCAAGCGTTTGCAGGTAATTGGAAAAAAGTGTTTTGCTGTTTGTGAGTGTGTGTGTGTGTTCTCTATCGGGTGATTTCATTCCGTCTACCAGGGAATGTGGCTTCCTACCCCCTTCTGCTCCCTTGTTTACTAATTTCTGTGTTAGAACAAAAATCTGGATGGAATTGTTGATTTATGTTGTGAATCATGAATAAACTGATGTGAAACCGTAAAGGTCAGAGCGTGTGTGACTGCATAGATGTCTTAGGGGATTATTCTGTTTTCTTCACATGCCCCTGGTTTTTGTTTATTGTTATCGTCCTTACAGTAATGACATCTTTAGAGTATTTTGCTTATATTGAGATACATTTTATGTGCATTCAGTCATTTTCAAGCACTTGAATGTATCGATGCTTTAATGTCCGTCACCTGTTATTATCAGTGCTTTCGGCCTTACAGAATAGACTGAGGTTAAAGGTGTGCTTCATCCAATATGGTGCTGCCTTTTCTTTCTCCTCCATTGATGACTGTTAACTTTTAGTGTTACTTTGTTAGTTCCATTTTATTCTAATTATTCTAATTATTCAAGATATATGTAGCTATACCCCTTATTGTAAAGGTCTGGATATGCTTGCCTTGGTTATTTTCCTTACTTGGATTTTTTTTTTCTCCTTTGTTTCCGGTTTACAGGCCATCGAAGACGGCAATTTGGAAGAAATGGAAGAGGAGGTACGGCTTAAGAAGAGAAAAAGACGAAGAAATGTGGATAAAGACCCTGTGAAGGAAGATGTGGAAAAAGCAAAGAAAAGAAGAGGCCGCCCTCCGGCTGAGAAGTTGTCACCAAATCCCCCAAAACTAACAAAGCAGATGAACGCCATCATCGATACTGTGATAAACTACAAGGACAGGTGAGAACCTGGCTCCTTCCTCTCCTCCAAGCCCTTGAGTGGGAGGACTTGAGAGGATGTGCACTTGGGTGATGACGGTCTTTCTCATTTGCATTGCATAGCCTTGTCTTGGAAGGTGCAAGCTGCCTTGTGACTTGTGAAACAGCCGAGGTGGCTATCTTGTATTTTGCATTTTCCATGTGTTGTTTATGATGAAGGGAAATGAGATTAGACAACTTTTTAAAGACACCTGGTCCAGAAAAGGATTCTTTAGGAGCTCTGAGGAGAGAGGCATTGGGACGATGGGATGAAATTATTATTGTTGTTGTTATTATTATTATTTGAGGTTGACTTGTCAGGAAAAAAGGAATTGCAGTCATATTTAAGCTAAATCTTTTATGTTAAGGCCTCAGTTCAAAACTAGATACTTCCATCAAATTGTTGGGCTTCCCACCTTCTAATACATGGAGTATTGAACATTTCTAACAGCTGTGGTCTTTCTTATATTACTGCTATATGTACTCAGAGTGATATTCATCCCTTTCTCAAGGACTTTCTGGGTGTGACCAGTAAGAAGGTGGCGCTGAACACAGGCAAGGCCGCTTTAAACAAACGAACGATTATTTGGAAACTGAGGCTAAGACACTTGATTATATCAGTCAACCCTATACTAGTTAACTAGTCTGATTGCATTGGAGTTCGCTGATTTTGGGTTTCTAACTTTGATTTCCATTTGATGTAATGATATTTTCCTTTGGAAGCCATCTCTTGTTTCCATGGAAAGCAGATAGGAAGCAGATATTTCTGCTACCTGAATTGAGTGATCATGGAAATCAGCTGTTAGAGTCCATGAGTTTTCACCAAGACCGCCTGTTGTCCTGTACACCTGTTGAACTGAAAGTGGGCAGCTACATTGCTTGCGACTTGGGTTTTTCCTCGTAGCTTTGATGTATTACATGGCAGGCAGAAAGAAATTGTTCGAAAGATTAAGTGGCAGGAAAAGTAGAAACTTTCCCCCAGGAATTTCACTCTTACGTCTTTCTAACCCATGTGATATTTTCCAAACCGGTTATGGGGACAGGAGGAGAAAGGTTCATTGAGGGGACAGAATTTCTTGTGTCTCTTGATTCATCAAGACTTGTAGCTCTAGTACTTACTAGCTTCCTTATTTTCATTTTGAAAAAAAGAAAGTATACATCTTTTAAATACTGTAAGGCGGCCACCAAGGGCACCCCCTCCTCCTGAGTGGATCAGCTTCTGACAATCCACAGAGGGAAACTCCATTCCAAAGCTACTCTTGGTCTGGAGTAACCATGAGATTTTGTGTGTGTGTGTGTGTGTGTGTGTGTGTGTGTGTGTGTGTGTGTGTG